TCCAGCATCTGCAGTTCCTACTGTCTCTGCAACACCTTACACTTGCCTTAAAATTGAGAGAAAGTTAGGGCCTAGGCTATTTTCTTAATATATTTTGAGGGGGTTTGTCTGGTCCATAACAAAGCTTTTACTGTATAATTCAATCCCACAGAGTAAATATTTCTACCAATATTTTCCTCATTTTCAGTAAATTCATACAGGTTTACAAACATCACATTTATAATTAAACCTATTGCATAGAGGAAAGTATTGTTGTTGTGTATTATGAACTAAAAATGTTAACGATTTGAATCTTTTACTTCAGGCACACATTTCATGGTATCAATACTATTCTAAAAGATGAAGTTTGTCCATCTAAGAAGCAAAAGGACTGTTGGTATTAGCTATTCAACAATGTTTGATTTATAAAAGGCTAGAATCTAATATACAAGGCAATGATTCCCCATTGAGGTCATGAAAGCTACACTTCCCCAAAATCTGTTACTCATTGCCTGCTGCTGACGTTCCTATTTTCATTAATTTCAAAAATATTACACTTCCCCTATGAATATAGATAATTTCAATTCTCTTTGTTCCCTACCCACCTTGCTTTGTTATTTTCATCTCATCAGTTTCTTTTACCCTTACTCCCTACAGTTGTCTCTGCTACTTGTGTTTTTTTTCAGTTCTTGTGTTTATGTTGTTCTATACTTGTTCTGTTTTTGCTTCAATTATATTTGTTGTTTGCTATATTACTTCAGGGATCTCACCTAATTGTATTATCTTTTTCCAGCTGCTGTTTTTCGAGTTATCTTTCTTAAACTCCTGTTAAGGACACATATGGGTGAATTTTCAAAGTCTATACATGTTGTGAGGAAAACATCGAAAGACCATATGCTTAATAATAAAAACAACTGGTCCAAACAGGATGACATCCAGATCTGAATGCATGGATACAATTGTTCAAGTGAGAATCATGATCCCATATTATGTAGATGCATGATTAAAACAATAAATTAGAGCTTTTGAAGACTTATGAAAATCAGTATAAAATAGTTATCATGTCCATCCAGGGCCATAGACATCACAAGTTTTTTTTAAAATATATATTAGCTGGTTCAGAGAAAGTTTCCTTAGGCTCATATCTGTAATGCAGCATGAAAACATGCAGCAACAGTATATTTGAACATCTGAAGGAGGGCAAGAGGTGACATTTAGATCAAACAAGCTAATCCCACTAACTGGCAATGGAACCTTGCACACAGTTCCATCCCCTGTCCAAAATATGACAGCAATTAGATTTTAAGTACACTTTGAAATGCCATTCATTTACTCTTCTCCAATACATGGGGTTAGGGGAGAGTGACTGCCCTTGACATCAATACTGCATTCAACTGAGTACTGAATCAAGGAGCCCTAGCAAAACTGGACTAATCAGAATAAGGGATATAACTCTTATCATTGGACTCCTATCTAGCACAAACTAGGATAGTAGCTGTTGGAGGTCAATCATCTCATCGTCCCCAAAAAAAATCACTGCAGACGTTCCTCAGGTTTCTTTTTCCTTCAAATCAACCTGTTCAGAAATGCTATTCCACACATCTGGAGCAGATGGGATGTGAACCCGGGTAGTATGGACATTATCACTGCGCCACAAGGACCATTGTTCCTCAGGGCAGTGTCCTAGGGCTAACCATTTTTAGCTGCTTCATCAATGACATTCCTCTGCCATAAGGTTAGAAATGGAAATGTTCACTGATGATTTTATCACATTTGACACCGAGATACTGAAGCAGTCCACTTACATATGCAGCAAGATCTGGACAGTATCCAGGCTTAGAGTAACAAGGGGTCAGTAGCATTTGCACTACACTATGTTCCAAGCAATGACCATCTCCAAGAGAGAATTTAACTGTCACCTCTTAAGGCTGAATGGTATTATCACCATTGAATCTCCCACTCTCAAATTGCTGAGGATTATCATTGACGGAAACTGTACTTGGAGCAGCTATATAAATACTGTGGCTACAAGAACAGATTAGGAATTCTGCATTGAGTAACCTACCTCCTGTCTTCTGAGTGCATGTCTACCATCTACAAGGCATAAGTCAGGAGTGTGATGTAGCACTCTCCATGCCTGCGTGGGTATATTTCCAACAACACTCAGAAGCTTGCTATCATGGAGAAGAAAGCAACACGTTTAATTGGTACTCCATCCATCCATAATCTTCAACATTCAATATTCACTCATTTCACAGTGGCATCTACTACCTACAAAATATACGATAAAAACTCATGAAGGCACTTTCAACAGAACCATTCAAATTTGTGACTTCTGCCACTTAAAAAAGGACAACAGCAGGAGATGTAAAGGAGCATCAGCACCTGCAGGTTCCCCTCTAAGTCACACACCATCCTAACTTGGAACTGTATCACTGTTCTTTCTTTCAAAATCAAAAACAGCATTGTGGGTGTCCTTACACCCCAAGGACTGCAGTGGTTCAAGGCAGCATATATGGCTTCTTCACCACCACATTCTCCAGGGCAAAGCATTCTCCAAAGCAATAAATGCAGGCCTAGCTAGTGACACTGACTTCTCATGCCAGAATAAAAAACATGTTTCTGTTATATTACTTCATATGAAGAAATAAAAATGACCTAAGTCACACCATCTCCCCTCTTGTGAGCTGTAACATATAATGGCAAAGTTCCATACCCATTCCATACCCAGAATTAACACTCGAGCAAGATTCACTGGAGCAGATTTTCGATCCCTTTGATATTATTTCTATATTTAAGGACACTAAAACACACTGTAATACCGACCATGTCAACAATTATTTAGGCTTATCAATGCCCTTAACATCCTGAAGTAATGACTAGAACATTATAAAACAAAACATAACACCACACGAGATGTTCAGGAAAACAATCAAAAGCTTTGTTTAAGTCAAACTTTAAGAAGTGTCTTTGCTGCACTAAGAAAGACAGAAAGGCAGTCAGGTTTGGGTAGAGAGTTCAAGGCCTCAGACCTAGGTAGCGAAGGCATTGTCACTACTGGTGGGATCAATTCAATTATGGAAGCTTAAAGAGGCCAGAATTAGAGAAGCACATATCTCAGTGCAGTGGTTCTGAAACAGATTACAGATGTTTCGAAAATAAGGAAGTGAATTTTAAAAATGGAGGCACAGGATTTTTTTAAAAGGTGAGATCCCTGAACGTCAACGAAACTGTGATCGTAAGTGAATGGGACTGAGAACAGCAGAAACAAAAACAAAGTTGCTGGAAAAGCTCAGCAGTTCTGGCAGCATCTGTGGAGGAGAAAACAGAGTTAACGTTTCATTTGGGAAGACCTCAAGTTTGGTACGAAGTTTGTCTACGTTCAGATTACCCATAAGCGACAGAAGTACAGATTTTCTAAACAATCTAATAACGAAATTATACCTTTAAAAATCGTAATGTTAAACATGGAGTGACAACACTGAGATTTCAGAACTCATAAACCACTTTCTCCACAACAAATTCAACAAGCATTTGATACCATCGACTTAATTAGAAGCCTACGTCTTACAAGGAAGTTCAAGTCAATTTCGTTTTGGAAGTAAGTAATTTCCAGGAAATGGTAGCAAAAAGACTAAGACGCTCCCCTCTTCTTGTTCCCATACCTGTCGTTTTCCTGAATTCTGCCATTGCGGACGAACTGATCGCACTCCAGAAACTGCAGGCAAACTGGATCAGCACAACACAGCCCCAGTTTCCGGATTAGAATGGATGGAAACAGGACAACAACACTTCGTCATATAAAAGTGGGAGGGATAGAAAATAAATTTGTAAAACGCCCAATTAGAATTCAGTGCGTCTCTTGGTGTTTTAAATTATGATTATAACTAAGATAAATGATATTTAATGGACCATATTGTTTCACATTGTCGTGACGTGGCTGTGAAATCTTAGATTTATTTTATTCACGGCAAACAAGTTTTATGCTTGTGCTTTTTTTAAAAAATCGTTGTGATCACATGTATTTTATGCATTTTCGGACTGCGGAAATGCAGTACACCTGTGATGAGTCTTGGAATTGAAAACAAATTTACTTCGAAGATACTAACCCCTGATAAGTAACTGTATTAGAAAGATTCACTACTCTAAATCGTTATCATCATCCTTTCTTTCTAATAGATTCCTCTAATTTACCAGCTGTTGTGAACAATTGCATGTCTTAAATAATGTTCGGGAGGTTGAGACCACACTCTTCAGGGGAAGGCATGGGTGGGGAATTGTCCCACTGAAGCAAGCATTTCAGTAATGAAACTTCCCTGTATGGCTCTGTTCATGGCAGTGAAAATGACCTGCATTTTGTTTTTGCCATTGCCTTCCTTTCTGGAAACGTGTGCAATGTTACTTCAGGGAGATGTTAATACACTGATACTGTCACTAAGTTAGCAATCCAGGGGCTGACGTTAATGGTTTGGGGACATGGATTGGCATTCCACCTTGGCAAATGATAAAACATGAAATCAGTAAAATCTTGATTTAAAAGTCTAGCCTAGTAGAGTATGAGTTGACTGAGTAAAAACTCCCCTGTTTCACTGATGGCCATTAGAGAAGGAAATCTGTTGTCCTTACCTGATCTGCCCTATATGTCACTTCAGATCCCCAGCATTGCTCTACACTCTTAAATGCCATCTGAAATTATCTAGAGTCAATCAGTGCAAGGAGATCTGGGGATGTGTTACAAATACCAGCCTTGCCAATGATGCCCACATCTCATGGATTCCACTTTGTTCTTGCCAGGTCATAGATGTTAGAACGTAGAACAGTACAGCACAGTACAGGCCCTTCGGCCCACGATGTTGTGCCGAACTTTTACCCGAAACCTAAGGTCTATCTAACCTCCACCGCTACCTTATATTATCATCCATATGCCTATCTAATAGTCGCTTAAATGCCCCTAATGAGGCCGACTCCACTACCCTCTCTGGCAATGCATTCCACGCCCCTACCACTCTCTGAGTAAAGAACCCACCTCTGACGTTTCCCCGATATCTACCTCCTTTCACTTTAAAACTATGTCCTCTTGCAAAAGTTACCTCCACCCTAGGAAAAGGTCTCTGGCTGTCTACTCTAGCTATACCTCTGATCATTTTGTACACCTCTATCAAGTCACCTCTCATCCTTCGTCGTTCTAAAGAGAAAAGCCCTAGCTCTCTCAACCTTTCCTCGTAAGACCTTCCCTCCATTCCAAGCAACATCCTGGTAAATCTCCTCTGCACCTTTTCCAACGCTTCCACATCTTTCCTGTAATGAGGCGACCAGAACTGGACATAATACTCCAGATGTGGCCAAACCAGGCTTTTGTATAGCTGAAGCATAACTTCAGTGCTCTTGAACTCAATCCCTCTATTAATGAAAGCTAACACACCATACGCCTTCTTAACAACTCTATCCACCTGGATGGCAGCTTTCAGGGAACTGTGAACATGAACCCCAAGATCCCTCTGCTCCTCCACACTGCCAAGAATCTTTCCGTTAACCCTGTATTCTGTTTTCAATTTTGTCCTTCCAAAATGAATCACCTCACACTTTTTAGGGTTAAACTCCATCTGCCACTTCTCAGCCCAGCTCTGCATTCTATCAATATCCCTTTGTAACCTAGAACAGCCCTCCGCACTGTCCACAACGTGACCCACCTTGGTAACGTCCGCGAACTTGCTAATCCACCGTTCCACTCCTTCATCCAAATCATTTACAAAAATCACAAATAAAAGAGGACCCAGAACAAATCCTTGTGGTACACCACTTGTAACTGAGCACCACGTTGAATATTTTCCGTCCACTACCATCCTTTGTCTTCTAAGAGTCAACCAATTTTGAATCCAATCTGCCACATTTCCCCCTATCCCATGCCTCCTTACCTTCTGCATGAGAGCAAGTGTGAGTTGGGTTTTGGCAAGGGCAGAGGAGTGTTGCCACGGGAGCAGCCATTGCCACCAGATGCAGGAAGGAGTGGTGGTCTGTGGTTACAGGTTGACTAATTAGGAGGAGCCCACCACAAGCCTATAGCCATGCTGTCATCTGGTGTCCCCAAATGGTGCAGCGTTCACACACCGCTAGTAAAATCCCATGGTAGGGAAGAAGGCTTATCAAACGCCTTACTTAAATCCATGTATACCACATCCACTGCTCCACCTTCATCCACGTGTCTGGTCACCTCTTCAAAGAATTCAATAAGGTTTGTGAGGCATGATCTACCCCTCACAAATCCATGCTGACTATCACGAATCAAACTGTGCCTTTCCAAATGATTATAAATCCTATCTCTCAGAGCCCTTTCCAATAATTTGCCCACCACTGACGTAAGACTAACTGGTCTGTAATTTCCGGGGTTATCCCTGTTCCCTTTTTTGAACAAGGGAATGACGTTTGCCTCTTTCCAATCTTCCGGCACTATACCCGTGGACAGTGAGGACGAAAAGATCATCGCCAAAGGCCCTGTGATCTCGTCCCTTGCTTCCCATAGAATCCTTGGATAAATCCCATCAGGCCCGGGGGACTTATCTATGTTCAACTTCCTCAGAAATCCTAGCACATCTTCTTTACTAACATCAACCTCCTCTAGCCTACTTGCCTGTTTCACAACGTCCTCCTCTACAACTAGGTCCCTCTCAGTTGTGAATACTGAAGAAAAGTATTCATTAAGGACCTCTCCTATCTCTTTAGGCTCTGTGCACAAATTCCCTTTACAATCCTTGATCGGCCCTACCCTTTCTGTGGTCATTCTCTTGTTCTGCACATACATGTAAAAAGCCTTGGAGTTTTCCTTGATCCTATCTGCCAAGGTTTTCTCATGCCCCCTTATAGCTCTCCTGTGCCCTTTCTTCAGCTCCTTCCTGGCTAACTTGTATCCCTCTGGAGCCTTTTCTGTTCCTCTTTTCCTAAACCTTACATAATCCTCCTTCTTCCTCTTAACCAGTCGTTCGACCTCTCTCGAGAACCATGGCTCCCTCACTCGACCGCATCTCCCCTGCCTGCTAGGGACAAACATATCGAGCACACGCAGTATGCATTCCTTAAACAATCTCCACATTTCTGTGGTGCTCTTCCTTGACAGCATCTGTTCCCAATTTATGTTACCCAGTTCTTGCCTAACTGAATTGTAATTACCCTTCGCCCAATTATAAACTTTACCCTGCCGTATGTACCTATCCTTATCCATGACTATCGTGAAAGAAACAGAGTTATGATCACTACCGCCAAAATGCTCTCCTACCAACAGGTCTAACACTTGGCCCGGTTCGTTGCCAAGTACCAAATCCAAAGTGGCCTCTCCTCGTGTTGGTCTATCTACATACTGTGTCAGGAATCCTTCCTGAATGCACTGGACAAAATCTGCTCCATCTAAACTATTACAACTAAAATTTTTCCAATCAATATTTGGAAAGTTGAAGTCACCCATGACTACAACCCTGTGACTTCTGCACCTTTCCAGTATCTGCCTCCCAATCCGCTCCTCTACTTCTCTGCAACTATTAGGGGGTCTGTAAAAAACCCCCAACAAAGTGACTGCTCAATAAACTGCATACCTTTACCACATCTACACTCCAGCAACATGAAAGATTGATAAAGCAGAACTGAATAGGATCAGGGAGTTGAAGCTGGGAATGCATTGCCTCATGGTCATCATAAATAAAATCCATGAACAATTTTGGTGAAGCAATTCCTGTTCATCAGTGCCCTGTTAGACTTAATCAGCAACAATGGATCTTTCATGCCAACTTGCTATTTGCTGTTATAATGCCTTTGACATGCCGCAGCCCTGACTGGTGACATATTTTATGTTCAGCTGACTGGACCAGCATTTACTGCCCATCCATAGTTGCCCATGAGAAGGTGATGGTGAGCCGCCCTCTTGAACCACTGCTGTCCATGTGCAGTAGATAGACCCATAGTACTGTTAGGGAGTGATTTTGTCCCAAAGACACTGAAGGCAAAGTGATATTTCTAAGTCAGGATGGTGACCGGCCTGCAGGGGAACTTGAACGTGGTGGTGTTCCCATGTATCTGCTGCCCTTGTCCTTCTAAATGGGCGTGGTTGTGGGTTTGGAAGGTGCCGTCAAAGGATTTTTGGTGAATTTCTATGGTGCATCTTGTAGATGGTACACACTGCTGCTTCTGACCATTAGTGGCAGAGGAAGTGGATGTTTGTGAATATGGTGCAATTAAGCAGGCTGCTTTGTCCTAGATGGTGTCAAGCTTCTTGTGATTTGATGGAGTGGCAATCACCCAGGCAATGGGGTCTGTTCCATCACAGCCATGACTTGTGCCTTGTAAATGGTGGTCAGGTGCTGGGGAGTCAGGAGATCGGTGATTTGCTGCAGGATTCCTAGCCTCTGAACTGCTCTTGTAGCCACTGTATTTATATGGCTTGTCCAGTTTAGTCTCGGATGAATGGTAGTCCCACGGTTGTTGCTAGTGGGGGAATTCAGTGATGGTGACATCCTTGAATGTCAAAGGGCAGTGATTAGATTAACTCCAATTGAAGATGATCTTTGAATGGTCTCTGTGTGATATGAATGTTACTTGCCACTTGTCGTCCCAAGCCTGGATATTGTCCAGGTTTTACTGCGTTTGGAGATGGACTAGAATCAGAGTATCAGAGGAGTTGTGAATTGTGCTGAACATTGTGTAATTATCACTGAACATCCCCACTTCTGATCTTATGATAGAGGGAAGTTCTTTAATGAATCTGCCTAAGACAGTACCCTGAGCAACTCCTGCAAGTTACCCTGGAACTGAG